TTCTGCATCATTCAATAATTTGCCCAGAGAATCTTTCAATAACGAAAGTTGAGGCTTGAATTTTTTTCTTCAGTTCTCTCAACTTGAGAAATGCTGAGTGTGTTCTTCCTTTTTGGTTTTCTGATTCCAGATCTTTGCACATTTTGTTATAATATTTGGCTTTATCGCCTCGAGCTGATCTTTGAAATTTTCTGTTCAAGTCTTGTACCTCATCATTTTTTCCTTTTGCTTTAGCATCTCTACACTGGAGAGCAAGTTTTGGTGTGTCTTCTGACATCCCTTTTGACCTTTTCTTTCTTTCTTGTCTTCTTAATGACTTTTTGGTTTCTTCATGTATGATATTCTTGATTTCATCCCACAACTCTTCTGGTCTTCGGTCTTTAGTGTTTAATGTATCAAATCTGTTCTTCATTAGGGTGGTCTTAAAAGTTTTTTGTTTTGTTTTTTCCTAAAAGCAAGAAATAGTTGATATTTATAATCTTTTGGTGGTGAAACAGATATGATATATGAGTATACAGTAATGCAGTAGATGACAGCCTAGGAAATTCTCTGGGGCAGCTCTACTCTGTCACATGGGGCTGCTGTGAATCGATGATATATAAGAGTATATATACGCATATATAGTGACATGACATTACAAAAGAAATGATTTAACATTGAGATCTGTAAGCATAGGAGAGCATCCACACTGCTGCAGCGTTTGGGTTGTGGGAGGCCCCAGTGGTTCCAGAGGTTTTGTCACATGATGCTGCATCCTCTCTAGCAGAGAAGGCATTAGTGGCACCTGCTCTTCCCTGCAGCCCCAGAGCCTCGCTGTCTGGGAAGAGGTGCTCATCTTTTGTGGATCTGGACTTACAGTGTTCCAGGACTCATTTTGGGTGAAGGAGTTAGGCCGATTGGTTCATTTACTTTTTAAGCATATTTTTATTGATCACCTGTGGCCAGGACTCTGCAGTGAGCAGAGTCAAACTTCCTGCCCTCCTGGAGCCTCTATTCTAATTGAAATGTTTATTTTTACCTGACGGTCCTTTACTCTTTCTTCACCCTGTTTTGTTTCATTTCTTCTCAGACCACCTTTTAGTTTTAGTTTTGTTTTCCCTTTCTTCCTCTTCCCAGTGGGAAAAGGGGTGCTTGTTTAAGAATTCTATATGCAAAACACGGGAAGGACATCCTATTCATGTCAAAGGTGAATTCATCAAGCATTAAATGAAGAAAATATATTTATGTTGTGCCTCCTTTACACCTAGAGGTTTAAGAGTTTTAAATGTTCATTCAAAACTTAAGTGACTATTATGTGTGGATGCTGTTTATATGTTCTGGCCCTCACCAGTGCTGATTGGGGCCCAAGACACTTTGGAAATACTTTGGTTTGATTTTACCGTGTGTAAGTCTAGCTTTCTGTGTCTCTTCCCAGATACAGTCCCTATCAGTGCGCCCTCGATCCTGTGATGTTGGAGGTGGCAAGTAAGTAATGTCTGTCTGTGCATGTCTCAGAGGCTGTCCTGAAGGTTTTCCCAAGAGGATACTTTGTTACTTTGTCAGAGAACTCAAAGAAGCTTAGCTTGTTACATGTAAATGGAAAGTCAGCATCATTTTCAAGAAAACAATCACTTGCCTTTTGTACTCAGTGTTTCATTGATTTCAGGTAATTAAATTACAGAGCTGCAATAACAAAGCTTCCATAAATATGTTTGCAAATAATGCATTGGACCTTGGTAAGTGCACAGCTCTGTTGGGTTAGAAGTAGATGTGCAGGTGCTCTAGAGCCAAGGCCAGCAGCCCTGCACATTTGCAGTCAGTATGTTTGCCAGAGGAGAAGGACAGCATCAGTTCATCTGGTCACTTGGCTATATGGAAATAGAGAGTGTCTACAAAACCTTTAATTAAGTAGTGCATTTAATAGTGTTTCAGTTTTACTCCTCGAGAGATTTTAGACAACTTATAAAAACACATACAGTACAAAAGATTAAAAACTAAGTTAGTGAAGAAGTTGGAACTAAGAGAAAACAAGGAGGTGAAAGAGATAATAAAACTCATGCATGAACAGACAACTCTAAGAGGGAACTGATCAGTGAGATCAGCTAAGTGAAAACGCTGTTTCTGTGGAGAGGACCAGCTAGCTTCTCCTTGGTGCTGTGACCATCTGGAAGAACTCTCTCCCATGACTTGCCACAGCGATGAGCCCTTGGGATTTCAAGGGCGTGTGTCCTGATAGGGCTCTGAGTAACCTTCATGAAGTTGTTAACCAGTGAGTGTCAGTGTAGTTCCGGCTTAGAATCAAAGCATATCCAGAAACAGGAAGTCTTCCTGGGGCCAAAGTAATGGCTTAAAAATGGGCTCAGTGCATGCATTCATCTCAAAGGTTCTAGGATAGGTTGGGGAGTCCTGGGGTGCCACCGTGGACCACAAAGGTGATTTGAACCACAAGGTCAGTGGTTCAAACTTTCCAGCTGCACCTTGGAAACCCTATATAGAGAGTCACTATGAGTTGGAACCAACTCTATGGCACTTAACAACTGCAGCTTGGTAACTAAGGAGTCCTGGTGTGGGCTGTAGGCTAAGCACTTGACTGCAAGGTCGGCAATTCAAACTCAACACGTGCTTCTTGGAAACCCTACACATTGTCTCTATGGGTCAGAACCAAGTCAACAGCACTTAACAACATGATAACCAACTATCCTTTACCCCAAACCAACCCTATTGCCATGGATTTTGACTCACGGTGACCTCATGTGTCAGAGGAGAACTGTGTCCTATCAGGGTGTTTTGACTGTTACCTTTACAGAAGCCTATCACCAAGCCTCTGCGAGGCAATCCTTAAATATTACTTAACTTCCACAAAGCAATCAGTCAGTGATTAACAGCAGGACACTCCTTTAGCTTTTGGCTGGTTAAATATAAACTCATGCAATTAACTATCTACTGACCTGAGATTAAGGTTGACTTTCTCTTTAGAAAATCAGAGCGCTTGCCAGGATGCACACCTGGACAGATGACCATCTTACCTATGAGTGCAAAACAAGCCATAGGTAGGACCAAGATTTTCCCCAAGAACCAATTTTGACTCAAGGAGCTGATGCTTGAGTGGGGAGAGAGGGGCAAAAGACAAGTAAGCAAATAAATAGAACATCTGCCATGCCTTGGTAAGTGCAAAGAAGAAAAAGAAAGCCAAGTAAGACAGTGTTTGGACCCAGGAAGGCCTTTCTGATAATATAATATAGGACCAGAATCCAGCATGAAGTGAAGGGGGAAAGATTCCAGGCAGGTGCAAGGACCCTGAGACAGCAGTGTGCCTGAGCAGTGGGCTTCTGGAGGGAACAAGGGTAAAAGCAATCCGAGAGGTGGCTGGGCCAGGTAGTATCAGCCTCATAACCCTGGTGAGGAGCTTGAGTTTGACTCTTGAGTAAGTCATATATTGGGTCTGCTATAAGGCAGGTAAGGAGCTCTGGTAACGTAGTGGTTATGAGTCAGGCTGCTGACCTTAAGGTCAGTAGTTTAAAACTACCAGCCATTCCGCAGGAGAAAGATGAGGCTTTCTGCTCCCGTAAAGATTTATAGCTTCGGAAACCCTGTGCAGGATCTCTATGAGTCAGAACTGACTCTATGGCACATAACCACCACCATAAGGCAGGTGTGGCATTGCAGGATAATGCACTGGGCTGCAAGGTCAGTTTGAGCCAAAAGTTCCGCAGTTAAAGCCCACCAGTCGCTCCTCGAAAACCCTACACAGGGTCACTATGAGTCAGAACCAACTCGACAGCACTTAACAATGACAACAACATAAGGCAGGTAGTATTCTGGGGGAAGTAGGGAACTCCCTGGGAAAAACATTACCTGCTTTATAGCAGATCCAGTGTATGACTCCCAAAAGTATTCACTTAATTGGAAAGCTGCCACTTTTATGCCTTTCACTTGGAGAGAAATTATTTTAAATCCACAAATGATCTTGTTCACACTGACCGGTTTTTTTTCTGGCTCCTGGTTCTATGCTACTGGACCATTTCTACTGCCCGCTCTTCTCTGCCTCTCGCCTTCCTCACACTTCCTCACCCATGGATGCTTTTTCTCTGAGTCAGGGAGCCCTTCTGCTCTCATGGCAAGCATCTCTAGGTTACCCAATTTATTTGTCTACTTCTTAACTCTTATCCCTATCACTAGTTCCATATATCCAGCCATCTGAAAGACGTCACAGTCAGTTTTCCTTCAGCCAGAATTACTCATTTTCCTCACCCTTCAAACTGAGTACTTTTCCTACTTCCCAGTTTCTTTACAAACCTCCAGTTATCCAAATCCTGCTTTTATTAAGCAAAGAGCGGCCATCAGGGTGAATGCTTCGCTTCCCACTGCCCCTCATTCCACCTTTCCGTCCTCTCTTCCTTATCTCAGACACACATGCAGTTGAGTCTCCCATTCTGGACAAATCACTTACTCATTTTCTGGCCTTTTTGGGACCTCCCTACTTCTTTACCTCTGTTTTCAGCCTCTTCTCTACTAGGTCTTCTATCTGCATTTAAATATGCAAAAGTATTCCACCCTAAAAGAAATGATTTCCTTGATCCCGCAGTCCCATTTAGCTTGTTCCCTTTCATTTCTAACATTTCACTCACACTTCTTGAGAGAATGTTTGCTCTTGCATCTTCCTTACTGCTTATCTACTCATTCCACAGTGCCCTGGCTTCAACCTCCACTGCTCAGTGGCCCTGCCCTGGACAATTGCCTCCTATATTCAACTGAGAGATATCACCACTGCTTATCTTCCTGTAGTACAAAACTCAAAAGCATTTCAAATAGAATTCCATATCTTTCCCATCTACCCTTTACCCCAGTCTGCTCCAGTGTCTCCTGTCAGAGTCCGCTGATCCTTAAGTCCTCATTCCAGAAACCCAGGAGTCGTTGTAGAATACTTGCTTACATCTCCACCAGCATGCCCACATCTCCTTTGACTATTGCGCAGCGTCATCACTTGCCTGTCTACCTTTTGGCTCCGTTTCTTGCCCAGTACCTTCTACATTTTAAGAATGTCTGAGTAGTTACAGATTGAATTGTGTCCTCCCAAAATTATGTGTTGTCTTGGCTGGGCCATTATTCTCAGTGGTGTGGCAGTTATGTGATAATGCAGCTTGGTAGTTACGTAATGGTAATCACGCCCACGATGTGATTTGCTGGAAGGGGATTTCGGTGGGATGCAACCGCTTCTTCAGGTCATAGCTCTTATCCAATGGAGGGGAAGTTTCCCTGGAGTGGAGTTGGCATCACCTTTTATCTTACGAGAGATAAAAAGAAAGAGAAGTGGGCACCAAGAAAGTAGAGCTAGGAAGGAAAAGCATCCTTTGGACGCTTGCATTGGGAACCTCTTAGAACCAAGAAACACAGAGAAAGAGCCTTCCTCTAAAGGAGCTCTAGTAGCGTAGTGGTTACGAATTGGGCTGTGAACCACAAGGTCAGCAGTTCAAAACTACCAGCTGTTCCGCGGGAGAAAGATGAGGCTTTCTGTTCCCATAAAGATTTACAGCCTCAGAAATCCTGCAGAGGGTCGCTGTGAGTCGGAACCGACTCCACGGCACATAACCACCACCGCCCCCAGAGTCAGCACTCTCAATTCAGACTTGTAGACTCCTAATTGTGAGAGAAGACATTTCTGTTCGTTAAGACCATCCGCTCGTGATATTTCTGGTATAGCAACACTGGAGAACTAAGATACTGAGTATGTCTTTTCCTTGCTTTCAACCTTCCGCTGGCTTCCTTTCATCAGTGTGTCATTCTGAGCCTCGTGTGCTCCCTGCCTCCTTCTCCTTCTCATCTCCAATCAATACCTACTAGTCTCCTCCACTGTGGTGCCTTAAGTTTTCATACTTTCTAGAACTTTCTCCTTCCTGCTTCTGCCATGATGTGAACTCTGCCTTATGTGATCTTCCTGCCCATCACTGGAATTCTTTCATCTTCAGACACAGCTCAGATGTCACTTCCTTGGTAAGCCTCCTCCCACCATCTAGTAGTATCCTGCACACCTTCTGCTACAGCCCTGTCAGTGTATTGTTGAGTTGTGTTACACTGCACACTGTTTTGTCTGTGGCTCTTTGTCTCCACCTTGCCTGCTGTGTACTGTATTGAATGATGTCCTCCACTGCATTCGTCTTCTCACTGCTGTTCCTAGTTAAAGGCATCAGCCTCCACCCAGTCTCCTGTTTATCTTCACTGCCTGTTTCCTAGTTCACACCTGGATGAAGGCGGTAGTCTTCTAGTTCTGTCTCCCTGCCTCTAGTTCCTACTCCCTTAAGCTGTCCTCCACACTGACAACAGTGGAAATACTAAAATGTCATCCTCTAACTAAAATGCATACAGGTCGATATCCTAGGCATTAGTGAGCTGAAATGTACAGATATTAGCCATTTTAAATGGGACAATAATGTGGCTTACCATGCCAGGAATGACAAGTTGAAGACAAATGGCATTGCATTCTTCAT